CAGACACGAGCTCAGCGGGTCACAAACATTCACATTCCCCAAAAACCTACGTGGGCTCCTTTCTGAGGCTCCTCTTGCTGAGCCGCCTGCGCGAAGCGTGCCACGTGGTTGATGATGGGTGACACGATGGTGGGGCCGTACAGCTGAACGTACTGGATGCAGTTTGTGTACGCCGCCAGAACTCCATCGATGCCTGAGAGGGAAGACACACACGGGTTTCAAGTTCAGTCCGTTCTTTTGTTTTATTTTAGTAAGGTTTCGGTCAGCTGTTTTGTTTTGTTTTAGTAAGGTTTCAGTCAGCTGTTTTGTTTTGTTTTAGTAAGGTTTCAGTTAGAACATAAGTTTTGTTTTAGTAAGGTTTCAGTTAACTGTTTTGTTTTGTTTTCGTAAGGTTTTTTAAAGTTTTAGTAGAGGTTCTACCGCACTCGTAACTGCATAAGGTCATATGAGCGCCAGATGATTAGCAGTGTTACAAGAGAGTAACAAACATTAAAAAGAAGAATGGGAGATAAGGACGATAGATCTTTGATAGGAAAGAAGAAGCAATAAGGTTTTACGGCACTTGCAGCTGCATAAGGTCATATGAGCGCCAAGGGGTGGATGTCAACAGAGAAGTCAAAAATGGGGAAACAGGCTTACTCAGCTCACCTCTCTTGCCTCAACAACACAACGTCTGCTTAGACTATCAAGGCACCCCGGAAATAGCGGGTCACATGAGTGTGACAAACATACAAAAGAAGTAGAGGAAAAATGACAATAGTAAGGATGAGGAAAGAAAAAGCAGCAGTTCCCCCTGTGTTGTTCTGGCACAGTATGAGCAGGACATTGATATATCAGCCCAGATACAATTCTACTGTGCATAAGGACGTGTTAATGTCCCCCATTTGGAAATGGCCTAAAGACACTTCAGTCAGTGGCACAGCCCTGGTGCGGGTGGGGAAGTCATCTCTTTAGAATCTGTAATAAATCGCCAAATGCTGATCTTCAAACGCTTATTTAGAGAGGAAGAAAGAAAAGGCAACTCTATATAACTCTGTAAGGAAAAGTGCTTTACAATTTCATCGATAACAGTCAATTATCTAAAATCACACACTAGCATGGAAGCACGTCATTGCTGGTTGACACGTCGTTTATCATGGTGTCTAATGTGTTGTCATTTCACGTACCGGTATGTTACAGATACGCTGATCATCGTCGTGTCGTAAATCTTTATTATTATACACCTCACTTTTATATTCAGACACATACAGCAATGTATCTTTCAGAAAAAAAAACCCACCTGGGACATCACAATCACAACATCTAGATCTAGACAGACACTGAAAGCAGCAGGAGAGACACGACCGTACCGGTGAACGTACGCTTTATTACTGAAAATTCTCTTCTCTAAAATCTAGGACGATTGTATCTAAGACAACAATTACGTAACCAATTACGCGGCTTTGTTACGAGTTGCCAGTGGTTACCTGTTGCCAGGTTTCCTAATTACTAAGGCAATAAAGATGGTTCGCCTGATGGAAATGGACATTACACCACCTACCTGCACAATATGGGTTCTGAGGATTGAAGTTAATGGCAAATTCATGAGAAACTTGTCTAGCAGGGGGAATTTTTGCACCAAATCCAAGAGCTGGGAACATTTTGTCACTGGGGAAAAAAAGTATACAAAACTACACGTTACCACTTTACCACAGGAATCCATCCAGAAAGTTCACTAATACCTGAACTAAAAAACAAAATAGACAGCTTCCATATACAAAGTCAAAGAGATATCAGAATGGCTAACATCTCAAAATAACTTTAAAAACATTTTTAGCCTTCATATGATCTCGTGAGGAGAGTTAAGGCCAATTTCTTACAAATTTTATCTCTGAAACCAGGTGACCCTCACCCCCTTCATTCGCTAATATCTCAACTTGCATTCAAGACAAAAGGATATTTTTTTTTAATCCTCAGCAAAACAGATGAACAAGCTTTAAGATGATACCCATAACTCCACATGCCCAAAAATTGACGAGCACCCGATTCCACCGCACCGGGAGAGATATAAAATAATTTTTAATTTTGGGTTCTGTACATGTGAACAATTCAGCGACAAAAAATTAGATGGATAATAATAGACAGCATTTGTATAGTGCAAATCCCCGCTCAACAGCAAGCTCTATGCGCTTCACAATCTATACTATTACCCTAGCAGACCTGAGAGCATTCTGAAACAACCCCAACTTCCTAGGAAGCATACAGTGCAAGCAGTCATTTATAGGCACTAAAACACTTACATACTGACAAGATCTTTCGTTGTCTATGGCCGGGTACCCATTCCCACCTGGGTGAAGTGAGGAAAATTTGTGTAAAGTGCCTTTCCCAAGGACACAAATTCTGGCCCGCGGCTCAAACTCCCGAACCAGCAACCTCATGATTACGAGTCCGGTAGCCTAAATACTAGGCCACCGACACCGACAGTTTTCTGCGTTACGTACCTGTCATAATCCTGACACACTGACACACTTCTAGATGCATTGTGTACCTGTCATAATCCTAACAGACTTCTAGATGTGTTGTGTACCTGTAATAATCCTAACACACTGACACACTCGTAGATGCGTAGCGTACCTGTCATAATCCTAACACATTGACACACTTATATGAGTGTTTGCGTACTGTCATAATCCTGACACACTCCTAGATGTGTCACCTACCTGTCATAATCCTGACACATTTCTAGATGCATTGCGTACCTGTCATAATCCTGACACACTGACAAACGTCAAGATGCATTGCGTACCTGTCATAATCCTGATACATTGACACACTGACACACTCCTAGATGCGCTGCGTACCTGTCATAATCCTGACACACGTCTCCCACAGCTCTGATGGCCCCCATGTACTCGTTGGGCTGGTACGGGTTGATGTAGTGCAGGGACGTAGACTGGGATGGGTTACCGTTGGAAGCTGTGAAGTCTATGCCCACCTAGAAAAATGAAGAATAATAGATAGCATTCTTTTTTCAATCCTTTTTAGTAGGTTTTACGGCGCTCGCAACAGCATAAGGTCATATGAGTGCCAGAAGATTAGAGGTGTTACAAGGGAGTAACATACATTTAAAAAAAGGAGGGGAGATAAAGACGATAGATGTTTGATAGGAAAGAAGGAGCAAACCACATCAGAGCACCCACCAACCACCCACAGACAGCATTTGTAATAATAATAATAAATGACATTTATATAGCGCTCAACCCCGATTAAAGTACATAGGCTGTGAGCACTTTTCAATACAATACAATGTACTACAGTAACATAAAACGTTGTGTTCTGACTAAAAGAAAATCACACCTAATATTTATCTCATTAATTTAAAAACGGAAAGGACTTCAGCTGACATTTGAAAGCATCAAAAGATTTGTACAGCGCAAAGCCCCGCTCAACAGCAAGCTCTATGCGCTTCACAATCTATTCTATTACCCCAGCAGACCTGAGAGCATTCTGAAACAACTTCAACTTCCTGGGTAGCATACAGTGCAAGCGGCCATTTATAGGCGTTGAAACACTAACATACTGACAAGATCTTTCGCTGTCTATGGCCGGGTACCCATTCCCACCTGGATGAAATGAGGACTTACTGTGAAATTGACCTGCATTCCACCAAAGATGTACTCCAGGAAAGTATGCTCTTTGACAATCTGAGGGGAGGGAAAAATGGATTCTGTTTAGTTAGTTTTAGTAAGAGTTTTACAGCACTTGCAACATAATAAGGTCATATAAGTGCCGAAGATTAGAGGTGTTACAAGAGAGTAACAACCACAAAAAAGAAGGAGAGGAGAGATCAGGACGATAGATGTTTGATAGGAAAAAAGAAGCAAACCACACCAGAGCACCCACCAACCACCCACAAAATATATTCATTCAGAGTTCAATGACTTAACTCTTTCACTACCGGGGGGGTGGGGGGTTTTCCCCACCTGGACCGGGCCCTATCTGGGACCTACTTTCTCATTCTGCTTCCCCTCAGACAAATTATAGATTTTTTTTAGGTCAATATTTTCAATATTAGCCGCACGTATAATATATAAAAATCTCTCTCTCTCTCCTCTCTCTCTCTCTCTCTCTCACTCTCTCTGTCTCTCTCTCTCTGTCTCTCTCTCTCTCCCTCCCTCCATCTCCCTCCCCCCTCCCCGTCTCACTCCCTCCCTCCCTCCTCTCTCTCTCTCTCTCTCTCTCTCTCTCTCTCTCTCTCTCTCTCTCTCTCTCTCTCTCTCTCTCTCTCTCTCTCTCTCCCCTCCATCTCTCTCTCTCCCCTCCCCCTGTCTCTCTCTCCCCTCCCCCCCCTACCCGTCTCCCTCTCTCTCCCTCTGTCCCTCCTTCCCTCCCTCCCTCCCACTGGCTACTCACTCACCTTGCAGGAAGAGATGAAGATCAGACCTGAGTTCGAGTAATTTTTCTTCTTTGCCTTCTTGGAAGGATTGATGCAGGGAAAGGAAACCTGGGTAGAAAAAAAAAAAAGGAACATCAGGACCTCTAGTCGAGGTTTTTCGGCGTTCACAACATCTTAAGGTCATATGAGCGCCAGAAGATTAGAAGTGTTACAAGAGAGTAACAAACATAAAACAAAAGGAAGGGGGGATAAGGACGATAGATGTTCGATAGGAAAGAAGAAGCAAACCACACCAGAGTACCCGCCAACCACACACCATCAGGACCTGAAAATACCAAATGTACTTTTCTACAAATAAAGTCAAATAACATTTCCCCACACATGGGCCTCTAAAACGACTCAAACAGTCAATTGCTTCAGTTTATGAGCAAACAAATTAACAATTTATCTTTTTTAGCTTTAGTGTGTGTCTTGCGGCACTTGCAACACAATAAGGTCATATAAGTGCAGAAGATTAGAGGAGTTACAAGAGAGTAACAAACATTTTAAAAAAGAGGAGAGATAAAGACGATAGATGTTTGATAGGAAAGAAGAAGCAAACCACACCAGAGCACCCGCCAACCACCCACACAATTTATCTTGGACGTTTTTTCTAAAATAACGTTTGGCCAAACAAAACACAATCCCAACTTTTAAAGAGCAAAGGTCATCAAGATAGTCACCTCGCCCCCCGCAGCTTTCATCATGTCATCCAGATTTGTGGTGAAGCCTCCGATGTAGTCGTGGGTCCCATCACTGTCCCAGTCATAGCAGTCAATCTGGGGACAAATTGTTCTGTTTGTTTCACTAAAGATTTTTAATTTTAGTAAGAGTTTTACGGCACTTGCAATACAATAAGGTCATATAAGTGCCGAAAAATAGATGTGTTACAAGAGAGTAACAAACACAAAAAGCATGGAGGAGAGAAAAGGACGGTAGATGTTTGATAGGAAAGAAGGAGCAAACCACACCAGAGCGCCTGCCAACCGCCCATAGTAGAGGATTTGCGGTGCTCGCAACTGCATAAGGTCATATAAGCGGGCGGGACACAGTAAACTTTTTTAGTTGGAAGGAAAGTTTGAAATTTGCCCGGTTGGCGGCCGAAGCCTACTCTTATAGATTTTAGACCAACACGTTGCACACGGGACCTACGAGATTTTTCGCCTTTGTCTGAGAAGGCTAGGTGTAGATCTTTCCTACCAGACGTTTAGGGGTGTGGCAGAAAGGCAGCAGTAAGACGGAACCAAGGAGTAGCAGTAGAAAGGCAGAAAGAAAGAGTCAGGAGCCCAGAGGAGGGGGCAAAGGGGGAAAGGGGGTGGGGGCAGAAAGTGGAGACGAAAGCAGATGACAGAACACAGCTGTTGTTGTTAGCGATCCAGACAGAACACAGCTAGAGAGCAGGAAAGGAGGTGAAAAGAGACAATTTGAGAGCAGAAAATTTTTCGGTCGCTACCTGGATTCAAACGCGGGACCTTTGAATGAGAGGCGAACACCTTAACCACTAGGCCACGAGAGCCCCTGGTGTGTAACTGAGCACAGCTTTTGGTCCATAGTTTCTCAAAGTCAAGAATGTGTAGATTGTCCAAGGGAATCCTTTTGTTGGGACAATAATTAACTAAATTAATAAACTAATTCTCACCAACCTTAATGGGTTGCATCTTATTGCCAGCACACAGGCTCTGAACGGAGAGACTCACAGTTCTCCAAGTTGGGTTGAGATTATTTTTCACCACCTGTGGTAAAATAATGAAGACATAATCATAATGACATGAAGAAAAAGAAGAAGCGGAAGAAGAAGAAGCGGAAGAAGAAGAAGAAAAAGAAGAAGAAGAAGAAGAAGAAGAAGAAGAAGAAGAAGAAGAAGAAGAAGAAGAAGAAGAAGAAGAAGAAGAAGAAGAAGAAGAAGAAGAAGAAGAAGAAGAGGAGGAGCAGGAGGAGGAGGAGGAGGAGGAGGAGGAGGAGGAGGAGGAGGAGGAGGAGGAGGAGGAAAAAGAAGAAGAAGAAGAAGAAAAGGAAGAGGAAGAAGAAGAAAAAGAAGAAGAAGAAGAAGAAAAAGAAGAATTACTTTAACAATCCCAATAGTTACAATACTGCTACTGAGTACTACTTCTACAAGAATTTTTTTTTTTTTTTTAAAATTAATATATGAATATTGATGACAATAACGACTACAATGATTACTGCTACATTTGCTTTACACCTAACCATAATACACCTGACCACAATAGTGAATAGCAACTCCTCACACCTTTGAGGTAATGCTCTCCCTTGCAACATACCGTTTGCTGCTCTTTAGAGTATGTATCTTTATAACTCCAAAGGTCTTGTAATTAAATTCCTGCATGTCATTGAACGATGCATTTGATGTGAATGTACATTTTGTCAGCTTCACTTCTCTTTTCATATTGAATTTTAATGAGAGTAATATATAATTTAGATATTTTATGTATACCTGCGTGCGTTTTTACGGTCCTGTACAGCCAAGAAAGAATTCCCTCTGGGATAATAAAGTATTATCTTATCTTGTCTTATCTTATCTTATCTTCTTATACCATCATTTACAGGTCAGGCAAGCCATTGCATTTGTACACAATATGTGAGGCATCGTGGTGAATCAGAAATCAGGCGCTCGTCACAATAATTAAATCAAAGAAATCTGCATTATACCGTATGGCAATTTTTTTTTAATTTTCGTTTTTTGGCTTACCACCTTTTATGCCCTTTCGAAAATACATTTCTGTGTGGGTTTTTACCAAAAAAACGTCGATTAAACGCACAAAAATGATAACTTGTCACTTTCCGAGTATTCTCAAGCTTTGGAAATCACAAAACTTTGACGGCCATTTTTTCGCTAGTATCATTTCTGAAACCAGGCGACCCCCATCTTCTTCAATGCAAATACCTCGACTTCAGCTCAAGATAGAAGGGTAGTTTTTGCATCGAAAGCAAGATAAATGAACAAGCTGATGATACCAATAACTCCACATGCCCAAAAATTGACGAGCGTCTGATTCCACCACGACGTGACACGCATATATGCCAGCATCCAAACAGTACAGCTTGTACACTGTACCTCTTGCTTTAATAAAGGGAATAATCTTTCTTTTTTTTAAAAATCATTTTAAACTTACCTCTGTCCTGTGAATAATCTGCCAACCCCCATCGATGGTCGGCTTTTGAATTTCAAGATAAGGATCTGATTTGCCCATAAAGTCCTGTTGACAAAAAAAAACAAAAAAACATGGAAAATCAAGGGAGCTGACTGAACTGAACGACATTTCATTGTTATTTTGACATTGTGAAGTAGTGAAAAGAATTACCCGAAAAACACACACTCCTCCAAAGGCGATTGTGAATGTCTCACATTTGCTGGGCCTCTTTCCTTTTTATTGATTTATTGGAAAAGTTTTACGCTGTCATCAACACAGTTTAGATCATCTACGAGGTGGGCTGCTTCTGCCCTAACTGTGAGGTAGCACCTAAGGAAGGTGAAAGTGAAAAGCACTCTCTAGTCACCAACACAAAGAGAGTGTGTCTTAAAGATTTACCTAAACCAATGTTTAAAGGTCGTTGTTGTTGTTGTTCTTAGCGATCCAGTAGCATTTGAGCATTAACTCTTTTGCATGATGCCATTCTGTAATAGCTGCATGTTCTAATTGTTGTCTTGAGGAGTAGAGGCAGTTAGAAATGTGGGGTAGCTTGGGAAGAAAACATCCCCTCAAATCGGTTAGTTTTCTACAGAAGAACAGACGATGTTCCGCTGTCTCTGAGGGGTAGTCACATAGTGGGCAGGCAGCGGACTGCTTTACTCTTATTTGGTTGAGATGTTGATTGAGGGGTGCATGAAAGTTTAAAGGTCACAAATGTGAAAATATCTACAGAATTCTTGAACATACAGATTTTATCATTTGTGACAAGGAAAAGAACTCACTTTGTTGTCGAGTTTTTTCGCTCGAAATGAAATTTGCACCATCTCTCCACCCTCCTGTACCTCCTCTGTTCGCACCTGCAAACACAAGAGAAGTTTTAGTTTTCATAAGAGTTTTACGGCGCTCGCAACACAATAAGGTCATATAAGTGCCGAAGATTAGAGGTGTTACAAGAGAGTAACAAACACAAAAAAGAAGGAGGAGAGATAAGGACGATAGATGTTTGATATGAAAGAAGTAGCAAACCACACCAGAGCACCTGCCAAGCACCCAAAAACACATGAAAAAAACACAAAATATGAGACTTGCAAATACAATATTGGTGGCAAAATGTAGGCAGGCATAACCCCACCTGTTCAATTCAAGAAAGATATTAGCGGAAACACACAATGTTCTTCGTGGTATTAAAAAGACAGCATTTTAAAAATGGTAGTTGAACGTAAGTACCCCTGATGAGAGATGCCAGAAAAGAGCAACCAAACTAGAAGGCTTGGCATGTCTTTGTAAAGAACACAGAAAAACACCCGCAAATTCGACAATAACAATGACAATATTTATTCACCTCACAGGGGGAAATTTGTCTTGGTTGTTAAAAATGGCAGTAGACGTTACAAAAGTTAGGTGCACTCACGCATACGCACAACAAGACAGGACATTAGTAATCTCTCTCTCTCTCTCTCTCTCTCTCTCTCTCTCTCTCTCTCTCTCTCTCTCTTTCCCTCTTTCTCTCTCTCTCTCCCTCTCTCTCCCCTCTTTCTCTCTCTCTCTCCCTCTCTCCCTCTCTCTCTCTCTCTCTCTCTCTCTCTCTCTCTCTCTCTCTCTCTCTCTCTCTCTCTCTCTCTCTCTCTCTCTCTCTCTCTCTCTCTCTCTCTCTCTCTCTGTTTCACTTGTACCACTGTGTGTTCAGTAACCACACTGCAGTTGGTACAATTCCTTACAGCAGAGGATTTTACAGCAAGAACTTACAGTGATAATGCCCTGTCCTGCCTTTTTTCCATTTTTCAGCAACAGCGGTTTTGTGTATGGGCTATTTGATACCAGCTGAAAGAGATAGGGAAACACACAAAATTGTTAGTAGAAAGGAAAAAGTCTCTGATGCAATTGTACCATGGCAACAATTGACAGAAACAATTTACAATTTTAAAAAAACGTCTCAATGCAAAATAAAGGCATTGATGATGATGAATATCTATAACTATACAATGAGAACTAAAAGCTTCACGTTTTCATACCAATACCACTTGAATGACCCCAAATAATCTCCAGAAATGAAAATTTCCCCTTTGTCGGAAATGTAGTGTATCTCTGTTCTTGATCTCAAAGTGTTTTAAACAAAAGATCATAAGCCACTCTAGATTCACAGTCACAGTACTTTGATTTTAAAAGTACATACAACATACAAATATGGATTTGCTATCAATAAAGATGAGAAAGAAAAAAATTCCTCTCCCTTAGTACAGTTGGACCTGCTCTAATAGCTGTCCCCATTGGTTTATGCAAGACAAATTCTGAAATTATGCAAAACTGAGCCCAAAAATGTGAAATTATGCGATTCTGTCAATTTCAACAAAGAATGTTAGAGGAAAATAATCAGAAATTAGGCAAAAAATGATCAAATTTTGCTAAATTATGCGGGGTGCATAAAACCACGGGGACAGTAATAGCCACCAGTCCAAGATAATCACCAGTACAAACAACCACTTCTCGGTCTGCCTTTTGGAAATATGTGGCACGACAAGGTGGAATCAGGCGTTTGTGAATTTTTGGACATGTAGACTTATTGATATCTCTTTAAAGCCTGTTCATTTGCCTGGCTTTCGGTGAAAATAATATCCATCTATCATGAATAGAAGTCGAGATATTTGCATTTGAAGGGGGTGGGGTCGCCTGGATTCAGAGGTAAAATTAGCGAGAAAATGGCCACCACAGTTTGGCGACTTCCAAAGCTTGACAGTCCTTAGAAACTGCAAATTTACATTTTCGTGCCTTAAATCAACATTTTTCAATAAAAATCCAAACAGAAATGTGTTTTTAAATGGACCTTAAAGGTGTTTGAGTCGAAAAAACAAAAATTATGTAAAAATTGCCAAACGGAGAGAAAAATGACAGTCTCTAAGATTTCATTATTTTGAAGAGCGCATGATTTCCCCACTCTGCCAACACAAAAAATCAAGGACGGGAGATAAAGACGATAGATGTTTGATAAGAAAGAAGAAGCAAACCATACCAGAGCACCCGCCAAACACCCACTTTACTCATTTGGAAAGAACAGTATTTTATAAGCATTATGTATGTCTCCATGTCAAGCACAATTAAGAGACAAATTTTAATCTAGAAGCCTCTTATTGACTTTCTTTACTATTCTGCCACAAGACAATTTCACATTGGTGTGTTAGTGTTGTTTCATAATCAACTAAATGGAAGTTAGTTCTGCCCCCTAAAAGAATCATAAAGCATGAAATGTACACATAGAGACACAACTTCTGAAAGATTGTTCAAAATTATGATTTTGTTATTTTAAGGGCGTATTTTGTCCTTATTACCTGTCCAAGGGTACATTCGACTGCTCCAAGGAAGTCATCATCGGACAAGGAAGGGGTAGAGTTATCCACATCATAAACTGCAAGTTTTATCTTTTGAACCTCTTCAAAGAAGTAATCAACACGTAGTGCTTTAGCAAACTTAGGATCCAAGCAATTCTGCACATTTTCAGTGCGTGCAATCTGAAAGAAGAAAGTCAAATATTAAATTTGAAAAACCTGAACAAAAAGTATCAGGTCAGAACCAACATTGCTTAGTATTCAATTCAGAAACATTATAACACTTAATAACAGCAATTTTTGCTTTTACACCATGTAAGACAATCATTTTGCCTCTGTTAAATAGGTATGGACAACCATGTAATCAGAAAGTTTTAGTTTTAGAAAGTGTTTTACAGCACTTGCAACACAATAAGGTCATATGAGTGCCAAAGATTAGAAGTGTTACAAGAGAGTAACAAACACAAAAAAGAAGGAGGGGAGATAAAGACGACATGTTCGATAGGAAAGAAGAAGCAAACCACACCAGAGCACCCGCCAACCACCCATGTAATCAAAAAGCACTAGTAAAAGACAAAAGGAAAAGCACATCAAGCCTTTGAAAATGAGAGAAAAAAAACAAACAAAGTCATTACAATCTCCAGTGACATTTATTTTAGAATTACAAATCTATTAAAAATTTATATATATAGATTTATCTATCACTTTGAAATAATTTTCATATGTGAAGCAGCGTGGTGAGATCAGGCGCTCGTCAAAATAATCAATGTGATGAAACTGGCATTTTTCCGCAGGTTTATGAATTTTTATTGAATTTGGGGGAGCTCAAAACCTTTTATGCCCATTAAAGAACGCATTTGAATGTGGATTTTACTGAGAATAAAAAAGTTGAATAAAGGCAGAAAAAATGTAATTTTTCAGTTTCCATATACTCTCAAGCTAAGGAAATAACTCATCTTTGACAGCGATTTTCTCACTAATTTTACCTCTGAAACCAGGTGACCCCCACCTCCTTCATTCGTAAATATGATCTCAACTTGCATTCAAGATAAATGATTTTTTTTTCATCCAAAGCAAGAAAAATGAACAAGCTCTAAAAGACGATATCAAATGGCTGTACATGCCCAAAAATTGACGAGAGCCTGATTCCACCATGTCGCGACACATATACAATTGCGAGTGTCCCACACACATTGAATTTGAAATACCATCCACCGCCACATACTAATCAAATGCTACTTGTGAAAAAAAATATTACCTCAACAAGATGACCGCCTTTCCTCGACATGTACAAAACAGCACAGGGATCAGACTTGGACATGACATCTTTGTTCAGCAAGTTTTTACATTCCACGTACAGGTTCACTCGCGACAGGCATTCATCAGCTGCCCGAGGAACAGGCCCTGGGTATGCCATGATGCAGGTGACCAATCAACGACAGAACCACTTGAAAGTGTACTTTTTTAACTTACAACACAGGATCAGGTGCAACTGTGGAGAATAGAAAATGAAAATTTATATAAAAAATATATAAAAACACACTGTAAATGAAGAGCTGGAGATCCTAAACATTCTCATGTTTAATTCCCTTCTTCTTCTTCCTCGTTCTCGAATTTTAATTACAAAAAGCCAAAGATTTTGAAAGTAGCTATAACATAATAGATGCACTTGAGATGAAATCCCACTGGAGATATCCCCCACTAGAAGTTAATTAAAACACTTCACATTGTGACACTTCAAGTAAGCCTACAGTTATTTCATAATTTATTAACTATAGGAGTGTACATACATTGTTGTGGATACTTGGCCTCATTTCTTTACATAGAAAACCTTCCTGGCAACCTGGCTGGTGGGGGAGGTAAATCGAGATCTGCTCGATACACGAAGTTCTCGAGCAAAGAAAGCTCACGTGAGCTTACATGTATAGTCAGTCACTCACAACCTGTCACGAACAGTCAGTAACGAGAAAGAGACGGTCAAGTAAACTTTGAGCCGAAAGGCAGTCTCTTTTATTCAGGGAGAAACAGAGCCAAAGTCAACTCGCAATACGGAAAATCAACTACTCTTGTTTCAAACTAAATAAAAGGTATTTGTTGTTCAACGTAGGAGTTCGTCTTTATTACATCAAGATATTCGTCTGAATATTTGGTAGTGTGTGTTCCGTAATAAATATAAAAGTCCACACCTAGAATTGTATCATCAGGAGAAGCTGGACATAATTCGTCCACTTTATAAATGATACAAATATTTTACAGGAAGAGACATTGTAAAAATTTGCAGTCTTAGTTTTATATTCTCCCAAAAATTAGCAGAAACAAAAGAAAAAGCATCAGAAAACAAACAGCTTCTATTCATAAAAAAGCTATTTCCAATCGTCACTCTCATGTGTGAACATCACATCACGATATTCTAAGTGAGTACGATTTGAAAAGTTGAGGCTAGTGGCAGTGGGGGGGTTATGGTTATGGTGGTGAGGGTGGGGGTGCAGCCCGCCAAATAAAATACTATTTTTGAATTTGAGAAAGTTATATATTTTCTTAACTGATTTTAAAAATTACCTCCCAGTGCCATACAGTACCGATACTTTAAAATACATTAAATAAATTATAAAAGTGAATCATCTGGGCTTTCTCACAAATTTTCACTAAACTATACACGACACAACACCGACTACAGACAGTATTCTGAGTATTCTCTAGTTCACTTCGACTTCGTCTTCATCATGCATGATGGCTGTTAACAGTTGAAATAGAGGCAACTCTACTTTTCTTGGATCTTAGTTAAAAGTAAAATTGTACATTCCCTAAAACTAATGCCATTTTCCATGTACTGGTAAACCTAAACATCTGGCTGGATAGTTGCCTTTTCTCTGCATTACTATATTTACAATAGGATAGGTGAATACATTGATTTGGTGGCCCCTACTTCCTACTAAAACAAGCCCCAAAAAAGAGTTGAAGGGTTTGGCCTAATTTGTCACATCTAAATTTGAATTTAACAGCATGAATAAAATAGATGCAAGAATATACAACATACATGTCCAAACTAAAGGCAAATATGTGAAGCAGAACAATAGTATATCAAATGCCAACATTATTATTATGCAGCCAGGGGCTACAGTTACGGCAATTGGCAGGGAACCCTGGGTTGCTGCGCTTGTTCAGTTGGCTGAGTTGGTGCTGGCAAACATCATTAGACCCACTTGGAACCCACTACGTGAAAGGAAAATCTCTTACCGACAGATAATAAAATGGGGACCTTAAAATTCTTGTTAGGACATCGGGTAGAGGTGAAAAGCAATACTTTTTTAACGTACAGTAAGACTATTTCTTGACAGTTGCTAATAATTTGATTGGCATCAGTAACAAGGCGGAAGTAAACAATCACTATTCACAATCAATGCAGCGGCGTGTTCTCGCCACCAAAGTATAGAGTCAAACAAGCCGTCCATTGTGTCGTCTTCTAGCATTCTCAGTCTCAGTTCTGAAGGAGCGCGCACAAAATTTTTAATAAGGAACAAAAATATAATAATAATATTACTATGTACATGCTATTATTTTGCAAGGACAGAAAAGGGAGGGGTGATATCTTCAGAGGATATTCTGTAGTGCACCCTAGATAACATTTTATCGCCAGATAACTTTGTATGGCAACACATTCGTATGTGTCTTTGTAAGTGGTTCGTGTGTGAAATGTATCGGAGCAAGCAGTGCACTCAATTCGCTTGTGCGTGTGCGCTTGAACGTGTTTATTTGTGAGTGTGTGGTTGTGTGTGTGTGTGTCTGTCTGTCGGACTGTCTGTGCGCGCACGAGCGTGTGTGTGTGAGAGAGAGAGAGAGAGAGTGCGTGCGCGCGCGTGTGTGTGTGTGTGTGTGTGTGTGTGTGTGCGTGTATGCGTGTGCGTGTCTGTACGAATGAGAAGGGGGGGCACAAAAAGTCGGAGTCACTCTCTCTCTCTCTCTCTCTCTCTCTCTCTCTCTCTCTCTCTCTCTCTCTCTCTCTCTCTCTCTTTATCTATCTATCTATCTATCTATTTATCTATCTATTTATCTATCTATCTGTTTCTCTCTCTCTCTCTGTGTTTCTCTCTCTCTCGCTCTCTCTCTCTCTCGCTCTCTCTCTCTCTCTCTCTCTCTCTCTCTCACTCACTCACTCTCTCTCTCTCTCTCAAATTGTCTTCTTTCACCTCCTTTCCTGCTCTCTTGCAATGTTCTGTCGTCTGCATTCGTCTCCACTTTCTGCCCCCACCCCCTCACCTCCTTTGCCCCCTCCTCTGGGCTCCTGCATGACTCTTTCTGCCGCCTTTCTACTGCTTCTCCTTGGCTCCTTCTTACTGCTGTCTTTCAGCCACACCCCTGATGTTCTGGTGGGAAAGATCTACCCCTAGCCTTCTCAGACAAGGGCGAAAAATCTCGGAGGTCCCGTGTACAAGTTGTGCACGTTGAAGAACCCTTCGTGGTCTAAAATCGATATGAGAAGGCTTCGGCCACCACCCGAGCAAAATTCAAAATTTCCTACCAACTGAAAATGTTAATGTGTCCAGCGCGCTCGTATGACCCAATGCAGTTGCAAGCGCCGTAAAACACTTACAATTTAAAAAAAACAAAAAACAACTGGAGTAGCAGCTCCCCCAGAAAGGCGCTCTGTTCACGCAGTTGGTATCATGCTGCACTACAACAGAGCCAATCCGTGGTTCAAATTTAAGACTGTGCGTGAGTGGTTGGCGGATGCTCTGGTATGGTTTGCTCCTTCTTTCCAATCAAACATATTATATCGTCCTTATCTCCCTTTCTTCTTTTTTTATGTTTGTTACTCTGTTTCCCGGGTGCCTTGAGAGTCGAAGCAGATTTTGTGCTTTTGAAGCTCGTCTTGAGAGGTGAGCAGAGTGAGTCTGATTCCCCGTTTGAACTTCTCTGTTGACATCCACCCCTTGGCGCTCATATGACTTTATGCAGTTGCGAGCGCCGTAAAACCTTACTAAAACTAACAATGAGACGGAAGTTGAATTCGGAGGTATCCCCTCTTTACCAATAACCTAATACGTGTGTTCAACCTATAAATAGACTTACTTTATTCCTCCCGCCGGAGCTCCGTTGAACACATGAAGTTCTCACACTGTTGAATCGAATCAAAGTAATTAATGAAGTTCTCACACTGTTGAATCGAATCAAAGTAATTAATGAAGTTCTCACACTGTTGAATCGAATCAAAGTAATTAATGAAGTTCTCACACTGTTGAATCGAATCAAAGTAATTATTGAATTTCTCACACAGTTGAATCGAATCAAAGTAATCAATGAAGTTCTCACACAGTTGAATCGAATCAAAGTAATTATTGAATTTCTCACACAGTTGAATCGAATCAAAATAATTAATGAAGTTCTCACACAGTTGAATCGAATCAAAGTAATAATTAATCAATGAAGTTCTCACTCAGTTCAATCGAACCAAAGTAGATGAAGTTCTAACACAGTTGAATCGAACCAAAGTAAATGAAGTTCTAACACAGTTGAATCGAATCAAAGTAATAAATGAAGTTTTCACATTGTTGAATCGAATCAAAGTAATTAATCAAGTTCTCACACAGTTGAATCGAATCAAAGTAATTAATTAAGTTCTCACACAGTTGAATCGAATCAAAGTAATTAATGAAGTTCTCACACAGTTGAATCGAATCAAAGTAATAATTAATCAATGAAGTTCTCACTCAGTTCAATCGAACCAAAGTAGATGAAGTTCGAACACAGTTGAATCGAACCAAAGTAAATGAAGTTCTAACACAGTTGAATCGAATCAAAGTAATAAATGAAGTTTTCACATTGTTGAATCGAATCAAAGTAATTAATCAAGTTCTCACACAGTTGAATCGAATCAAAGTAATTAATTAAGTTCTCACACAGTTGAATCGAATCAAAGTAATTAATGAAGTTCTCACACAATTGAATCGAATCAAAGTACATGTAAATAGGAAAACAATCTCAGATCCTCCGCGGCAGGATGACCAGTAAGGGTCTGCCGAGAGAAATGATATTGGGGTCAACGTCAGTGAGTGGCAGGAGGGTGCTCCTTGCTTTGTTAATTGTCAGGCAGCGTGGTGAAATCAAGCGCTCGTCAAAATAAATTAAATCAAAGAAATCGGCGTTTTTTCTGGACGTTGGGCAATTTTTTTTCTAATTTTCTTCTTTTTTTTTTCTTTTTTTTTTTTGCTCAACGCCTTTTATGTTCATTAAAAAAACACATTTCTGTGTCGATTTTACAACAACAACAAAAAAAACATTTTCTAAGTGGTTAAAGGCACAAAAAAGCAAATTTTCAGTTTTCATGGACTCTCAAGCTATGGAAATGACCACACTTTGGCCACCATTTCTCACTAATTAAATTTACCTCCGAAATCAAGCGACCTTGATCACAAATATTTCAACATCTATTCAACATAGATGGATATTTTTTCGCCGAAAGCAAGACAAATGAACTGCAGGTCTTAAAATAATACCAGTGACTCAATATGCCCCAAACTTGACGAGCACCTGATTCCACCGCCTCGTGACACTATGTTACTCCTGTTCCTTCCCTTTGTTCTTTCTTTCCCTTTGTTCTTTCTTTCTCTTTGTTCTTTCTTTCTCTTTCTTTCTGTCTGTCTGTCTTGTGTTTCCCAAGGCTGCTGCTGTTGCGTCGTTGTTCCTCTGTTTGCTCAACAAACAAACAAACAAAATGAAATCAAACAAAGAGGTTGGATTATCCAGTTTCAGGTAACCAGACGAGTATCGAGTTTGGATCAGCCTACTCGGTATCGAGTTTGGATTAGTGGGATTGAGTGTCAAATTTGGATTTGCCGCCGGAAGAGTTTCCAGTACAATGTATTTCACCCCCCCCCT